GCCATGTGCCCCTAGATTCTCCTGATGGAGGCAAAATTCATGATAAAGTGAAGAACACAAAAGCTAAATTACTCTTCTCTCCCACAGTCTCCTATAGGAAAGTTATCCCCCCCACTCCACCTCAACCTTTTGGAGGTTGAAGTTAAATCCCCAGAACCCCATTCAGACCTTCCTCCAGTATCCCCTTACTTCAAAAAGCTAAAAGCACCAGGAAGAATTAACCTGTTTATGTGGCAGTAGCAACTCTCATTAAAATTATAACTTTTTTTGTAATCTTTTAGCCACTGGGCAATACACCGAACTGTCACACTTCAAGAAACAGTAACAAATTTCAAGAGGAGATCACAACCATTCTGCTTTGCTCAAACAGTCTAAAGAAGTATTTCTGAGCCACTTACAAATTCCAGAGTCAGCAAAAATGCATGATATAATGAGAATTAACTTCCAGTTTCCAAAGCTAGGGCCACTGGTGTTAACTTACACTATTCCCTCTCCCTCTCTTCCTGCATCTACTCCATCACAGAGACCTGTCTCTCACACTTTCTGCCTGCACTTCAATCTACCAGACTTTCATCACTTTCCATTTTGTTTCCTACCACATTTTCCTTGGTCTCCCTGGCTCCCAGCTCTCTTCTCTATTACTCACCCCGTTCATCATGCCTGAAAATGTGCTTACTTGTTTAACCACTCCATTACACCCTGCTTCATTCCTACAAGTGGACTAATCCTCCCAAACCATTATTTTCTGTTTCTCTCCTGTTTAAATTGTTTTTAATCCACCCAACAAATATTTAATGAACACCTACTATGTGGAAGACATTGTGATAGGCTCTACAGGAGGTAAACAAACCCTGACCAGCATCTCAGGGGGCTTACAGTATTGTGGGAGTGGCTTACATATATACAGATAACTATAATAAGATAGAAATGTGTACAGGTCATTAAGACAGAGAACTGTCAGCTGGATGTCAAGTAAAATTAGAATTGGTAAAGAAGAAGTAGAATATGAGACAAAGAAAAAGCTACAGAGGTTTCCAGCATGAGGGACTAGGAAAATAGCAGAGCCATTAACAGGCCAAAGGACATCAGGAAGAAATACAGATAGAAGGAGCATGACAGGAGATTTAAGAAAAGTGAATGTACTTGCCAAAGCCCAAATCAGGGAACATGATCAGAGATTTCTGTTCTGCTTTAAGAGGCTGGAAGCAGTCTAAGAAATGCAATTTCAACACCAAAATATTAGAATTTCCAGGATTGATGATTTAAAGGGACAATGGCATAGAATATAAAATTGGGACTATCCCAGAAAAAATCTAGTCCATGCAGCTTCAGTAGGTATGAGGAAATATGGTGGGAAAGGAAGATTACAGATATACAATCTACTGGCCTAATAGTTGTTTCACCTAAGGAAAGTGTACTTGGCTTCTGGAGTGAGGGTTTTAGACTGTTTCTGTACTGTTAGAAAATTCAGCATCCTGACATACTATGGGACTCCTAATTAAACTTCAGGTAATCTTGGCCATTCTACAGCATTTATGTGGTACCCATGGTGTCTGGGAACTTCATGTGAGGATGACTAGGATGCCATTTTATTGCTATTGGTGATCCATCCAGGTCTAATTAATAAACCCTGCTCCAGAAATGCTGAATCCTTTGAAGTTGCTGAAAGTAGCTACAAGTGATGTCATCATTCAGACACCCACTGGAAAGTCAAGACCAGCAAATATTTTCAAAACCAGAAACAATAAGATGTCACAACCACCTTCAATTCTTTCAGGAACGAGTCAGGTGGATCTAAAAATAAATCAACACACAACTCTGTGATTATACTAAAAACCTTTGAATTGTACATTTTAAATTGGTGAATTGTACATTATGTGAATTATACCTCAATAAAGCTGTTATTTTAACAATCAACAAACATGTTTTAACCAAAATGTTAGTTTCCAGAAATGTTATATCCTAGTAACCTAGCTATTGCCTTTAAAATGTTTATACTGCTGGAAAAATTTACAAAAGGGAAGCCCTGCTAAATTGCTGTGACAAAACCATTATCATTTTAGCTAAAAAGAATAAACTGAATGGTCTTTTGTCTTTCACTGTAATAGGAGCTGATTTCTATCACACATCAAAATCTGCCTTTAAGCTCTGAATGCCATTTTGAAAAGGGCACTTTTCAAATTTAACCACTATGTTGAATACCATAATTATGGCATGTCACTATTATATCTTTCCTTGTAGTCTACCCCCAGAATTTCCTTCCCTATAATCCTCTGCAAGGGGAAAATCCTTGTGTTTATATACAATTTTTTTAAAATTTTTATTTATTTATTTTATTTTTGGCTGCGCTGAGTCTTCGTTGCTGCATGAGGGCTTTCTCTAGTTGTGGCGAGCGAGGACTACTCTTCATTGCAGTGCGTAGGCTTCTCATTGCGGTGGCTTCTCTTGTTGCGGAGCGCGGGCTCTAGGTGCACGGGCTTCAGTAGTTGTGGCACACGGGTTCAGTAGTTGTGGCACGTGGGCTCAGTAGTTGTGGCACACGGGCTTAGTTGCTCCACCATGTGGGATCTTCCTAGACCAGGGCTCAAACCTGTGTCCCTTGCATTGGCAGGTGGATTCTTAACCACTGCACCACCAGGGAAGTCTAATCCTTGTGTTTAATATCCATTTATATTCCTCTAATGATTTCCCTCGTCCTCTAAAAATCACGACCCAAGCTTTTATCTCTAGAATCATTCCAACCTTCTCATGTCCCAACCTCTGCCCTAACTTCTACAAATAAATACCATACCAGCTGTCTGACTGCTGCTGAGGTAACAGCAGGTTATTTATGCCCTTGAAGATTCAAAGCGGGCAAAGAATATAAGAAGCAGGCTGTAAACCCTTTGAGGGAAAGGACTGTGTCTTGTTTATGTTAGAACCTCTCAACATTAAGCAGAGTACCTGGCACCCAGGAGGTGCTCAATAAATATTTTTGTCCGCCATTAAGCTAAGGTCCATTCACAAAAAGAATGAGCCAACAAACAAACCAAGTAACCAGATTATCCTTAGGTATAAATGCATTTAGGAGAAGGCAACTTAAGCTCAACTTCCCTACTGATGTCTAAACCAGTTTGTCTTTACAATGACTAGAGGGTGAATTTTAAAACAGATTGTGATTATGCCCAAAGCCCACCCCAAACCTTACAATTTTAAAAATCACAGGATCTTTTAAATTTTTTTCTTGCCAATTATTTTGGGAGAAAAAAGCAGACCCAAAACCCAAGAGCAACGTATTATCCAACCAGTGTCTAGTTAAGCAGCCTACAATTAGTCAGGCAGCTGAAGGATGGACTCCTCAGGCAGTGAAGAATGGGGTCTATACAAAGTAACTAAGGAATATTTACAGACCATATCTCTTCTTGTGAAAATGACTCTGATATTTCTTAGTGCCCACCTCATATGTTTATTATGAGGATTAAATGAGTTAATATTTGTAAAGCACTTAAAACTGTACCTGGCACATAGTTAGCTTTATATAAATGTTTGTTTATAAAGTAACTTTGGATCAATTTCTAATTGCATTCAATCATACATTAGGTATCTACAATGCCTAAAGAATTACCAGGTTTAGAGAGAAGTTTCATTGTGTAGTCCTCAAATCTGAAGCTGGAAAGAGAGAGGTCCCAGGAAATGTTTCATGCAAACTCATTTCATGGTTGAAGAAATATACCTCATATTTGTAGAGAAATTCACAGGTTACGAAAAGCATTCCCATGTATTATTGTTTGATCCTCACAACAACAACCTTGTAAGAGATGTAGGGCAGGTATAATTAACTCCATTTACAGATGAGGAAACTAAAGCACAGAGAGGTTAAGTGATTTGCCCAAGGTCACACAGTAAGTGAAAAGGCCCCGGCTAGAATCAAGGGCTAGAATCCAGTTCTCTTGATGGCAGGTCCAGACCTCTTCCTTTTATAACATGCTGCAACTTGAGCCCTGGGCTTACTTGGGTCATATTTGGAAGCAGTGATTCTGAGACCTTAAATGTAGACTTGGCTGCAGATGCAAACTCAAAAAGTTAAGGTAATTCTGTTAACTGGAATTAGAGGTAATTAACAGCTGGCAAAACATCTACCTACACAGGAGTGATAGTATAAAATGCCATGACTACACACAGTCACAAAGGGCACCACACACTGTCTTGAAGGGACAGTTCTCCAAAATATGCCATTCAGAGATTACCAGCCCCAGGAAAGAAGGAAAGGCTGCCACTTCCCTTAAACAAAACCCAGAAGGAAAAGGCTCACCCCAGAGGATGGTGAAGACATGGAGCCTAACAAGGCTCTAAGGGATTACATGCAGATTGCAAACTCCCAGCGACAAATGAGTACCGACCATCCCAGTGAATCAGCTCGCATTTATTCGTCTGCATCTTCCCCAGGGGCTCTCCACCACAGGGTAGCAATCGGAAACCGGGCACCTAAAGGTGAAAATCGACTGGCGACCTTTTGCAAGATTCCATACCTCACAGAAAGGTTGGGTGGCGGTAGAAGTGGCACCGCATACCAACACCAGACGTTATTTTAAGCGCGTGTCCCCAGGGGAGGGACCGACCATCTAATCTGTCAGATCTAGGATCTCCCACCAGCCAGGATTTTTCCTAAAGCAAGACGGAGGGCTGAGCAATCCTGGCCCAGGCTCGCCCTACTAAAGCCACACAGACCCGCTTTCCACTTAAAAACCCGCACTGCTCCCAGGCCAAGAAGGGTGGCAGGGGCCACAGAGGCACCCCGAGGCAGGCCTCCCTCCGCCGCCTTAACCATCAACGCCCGAACAAGGGAGGTGCCTCTGCGGGCGACCGGCGGGCAAGGCAGAGGATTTCGAAATGCTCGGAAAGGGGGTGGTGCCGGAGGGACCGGACAGGGTCCCCGCGCCCCGGCCCCTCCCCGGCCTGACAGCTGGCGGCGCCGGGCCGCGCGGCCCCCTCCCCAAGGCACGGCTCATGGGGCGCCTTACCTTTGTGTAGAGCTCCGACGCGGCCATGGCGGGCCCCGCGGCGCCGACGCCCCCAGCCTGTGCGGAGGCCGCACCTCTTCTGGGCGGCTGCCCGCGCCGACTAGGAAACGCCGGGGCTGCAGCCGGCAGGGAGCAGGGCAGGGCCAGGCGGGGCGGGCCGCTCCGGGCGGGGCGGGGTGGGGTGGGGCGTCTCAGCCGCGGGCGGCCAGCGAGGGCCTCGCCATCACTCCCGGGCTCGCCGCGAGCAGTGTCGCGCGCTCGGCGTGCCCGGGGTCCTCGGGGTCGCCGCCGCTGCCAACCCTACAGCCGGTGATGCTGCTGCCGCTGCCGCCGCCGCCGCCGCCCTCGCCCTGTGCATTGTGGGAGCGGGAGGAGGCTGCGCTCCAGCGCTGCCACCGCGGCTGCTCCGGGTTCTGTCGGGCTCACGCTGCCTCCCATCGGCTGCGGGCACCGGGCATCATCAGCCTGTCAGCCAGCGTCGCCGCTGCCTCCTCCCGCGCTGCCGAGGCCCAGAAGCTCGCCCCAGGACACCACTGGCCGCACACCGCCCCCGGGATGCCCCAGGCCCCAAGCGAGCCCTGGACCGTGCAGAATAGCCCAGCCCCCGAGAGGGGCAGCGATAGCGGTGTCACTCAGGGTGTCCAGGTGAATGGGAGTCTGCAGGCTGCTTTTCCTGTGCTTCCAAACATTTGTAGGGAACGGATAGGGGGAGAAGCTTCTTGGAAGGCCATGGAATAACTTAGAATTCCAGAAGAGCCCTATTAGCAGTACACGTCTGGGAGTGAGCGAGGACGGATAATCTGAGAGAAAGAATCACCAAGGTCACCCTGAACACCTCGGCATCTGCCGTAGGGTCGTTTCGTGAAGCCAGAGCGTAGGGACCTGTTTTAAGCTATAGAAATTTAAGCGCACCTGGTAACAAGATGCCCCCGGGGGGCGGCCCTAGAGCCTCCTTCTATCCTAGGCCTGCGCCTTCATAACGGTGCCACTCACCTTCTGCCCCAGCCCTCTTTCTCTATCTAATCGCTGTTATCCTTGCACTTCAAGCCCAAGAATGTGATCTTTCCACCCCACCCTGATGCCGTCTTCACCCTCTACCTCTTCCCCACCCACACTTTCATTCCAGTTTAGCTAATCTCCATTTTTTCATCCCAGCCTCTTTAGTGTGCTCATCTTTCCTTATTTCTTTGAACTCTTAAGTGGTGCCCAGTGCCAGTCATGGGACTCTGGGATGGTTTTTATCAAAACTATCTCTCAAGGCTGGCCCCCTTGGTAGTGTGTGTATCCTGCGTGTGTATTTGAAGGAAGATCATTGATGAGGGGGACACTTGGGGCCAGTCCTCACTCCCTGGAACTCAGGCCTCTCCTCCCCTTGCTCACTGCCCACAGTCTCCTCAGACATGCCAGAGGTAATGGCTACAGAGTCCTGCATAATGCTCTGTACCTTCCAATTCTGAAAGTAAATCTCTTTCATCTTTTTGGATACCACCCTTTCTTTAAAAGAGAAAACCTGTGCAGCTATCAGCAGTACACCAGAAAAGGCACTGGATTGAGATTTAAGAGTTTCTTTGTGCCTTGTGTAAGGTGGTAACCACTCTGTTTTCTCACCCTCCAGCTAGTACCTACCTCCTAGAAGATGAAATTCCTATATGAAAGATGTCCTCCCTAATATCTGAAGGAAAGTACCGTTCTTATCATCAAGGAGAGAAGTTAAGGCCAAGAGAATTCTAAACAAACAGACCTTGTTAAAATAGTTCTTATCTTCCTTTAGCTTCCCCACATTGTTAAGTCACTTGTCCACAATTGCTTCTCTTTGTTCAACCCAATATAAAAGCTAATAAGTTTTGCCATTTATTTGGGTCTTCATTTCCTTATGAAGGCTCCTGTATCATGTAAAACAATATGAATTAGTATGCTTTTCTTGCATTAATCTATTTCTGTCAGTTTAATTTTTAGGCCCAACCAGGGACCCTAGGAGGGTGGAGGAAAACATTTTCTTCCCCTAAACTGAGAAAAAACTAAAAAATTAAAACGGTGTTGTGTTACAGGTGTCAGCGAAGTTTTTTGGTTTGTTTTGTTTTGTTTCCCCTAGTGACAGAGGGAAGAAAAGACACTAGAATTATTCTCTTCTAATACCTGAACACATGCATTCAACCACTCAAATATTTGGCCCATGGTAGGAGGAAGGTAATAAGGATGAGGAAAGGGAGAAGGGTTTTCTGCCCTGGACCTTACGTTATCTCCTTCAGAAGAGCAGACTTCAAAGCTGGAAGAGGGCTTCCCTGGTAGCGCAGTGGTTGGGAGTCTGCTTGCCGATGCAGGGGACGTGGGTTCCTGCCCCGGTCCGGGAGGATCCCACATGCCGCAGAGCGGCTGGGCCCGTGAGCCATGGCCACTGAGCCTGCGCGTCCAGAGCCTGTGCTGCGCAACGGGAGAGGCCACAGCAGTGAGAGGCCCGCGTACAGCAAAAAAAAAAAAGGTGGAAGAAACAACTAGGAAGCCCTGATGGCTGACCTCCCTACCTTAACCATGTATATTCACAGTCCCAAGCACTCTGTCATTGGTAAACTGGGGAAAGCAGCAATAGGACCAACTTCTGAGGGTTTAAGATTTCCCCTTCCGAAAAAGTAGCCAGAGTATATTGTATATTATTTTAAATTGATAATGTTTTCAATTATTGCTTTATAAGTGGGAATATTTTCATGTAGGTTGTTTTCCAAATAAAAACAGTGTCCAAGTTATTGTGAACAATCCCTTTCCTCTAAAGTATTCATGGATATTACTTTTTTCAACAAATATTGAGAGCTACAGTGTACCAGAAACTCTTCTACATGTTGAGGATTCGAGAGTAAACAAAACAGATAAAATCCCTGACCCCACGAAGCTTACATTTTAGTCTGGAAGATAGACAATTATAAAGTTAGAAGGTGAAGGTGATAAGTGTATTAATTTGCTAGGGCCATAATAAAGTACCATGACCTGGGTGTTTTAGACAGTAATGTACTAGGTGATCTGGAGGCTAGAAGTCCCAGAACAAGGTGTTGGGAGGGTTAGTTCCTTTTGGGAGCTGGAAGGGGGAATCTGCTCCATGCCTCTCTCCTACATCCTAAAGTTTTGCTAGCAATCTTTGGCGTTCCTTGGCTTCGGCTGCATCACCCCAATCTCTGTCTTCATCTTCACGTGGTGTTCTCCCTGTGTGCATGTGTGCTTGTGTCCAAATTTCCCCTTTTTCTAAGGACACAGTCATATTGGATTAGGGTCCACCCTAGTGCCTTGATCTTAACTTGATCATCTACACAGACCCTATTTCCAAATAAAGTCTCATTCACAGGTAGTGGAGGTTAGAAGTTCAACATGTTTTAGGGGGACACAATTCAACACATAACAATGTACAATGGAGAAAAACTAAATAGGGAAGAGAGAGAAAAACTAAAAAGCAATTTTTAGTAGGGTGGTCATTGCTTTATTCAAATTGAAGAAAAAATCTATTGAGGGTCTATCATGTGGTAGCACTGAAGACAGTAAAGATGGAGATGAATGAAATATGGTCCTTGGCCTGGGGGAGCTCACTGCAAGGAGTGGCTGCAAGGGTAGGAGAAGGGGCAGTCCATGCTGCATGGTCATATAAAGTAGTAATTCTAATTCTGTAAGACTGGCGTAATTCTAGAGGCCAGAGGCAAAGTACTGTGTTACTGGTTATAGTACATTCGTTGGCATTTGCGTATCCCAATATTTAACGTTTCAGAGGACTAGCCATGGGCATAGGCGACATTTGGGTGGGAACCCCAAATAGCTCATCAGGAGATCCAAATGATGATATGGAGTTGAGGAGGGGTCATTTATCATTGCAAGATATATAAAGGAACAGCCAGAGGGAACTAGGCTCTGAAGCAGAAAAAGCAGAGTGAAGAAGAGAGGAAGACTGACCTAAAATACTTGAAATTTGGAAGGCAGACAGGTACTCCCGGATCCCCACCCCTTCAATTCCCTAGCCCCAGCCAGTTATCCTCACTCCCTCTCACTTGGGAGCTTAGGCCTAGCCACACTTTATGTCTCCCCAGGCAAGGAGGATAAAAAGGACAGTACTTAACTCAAATGGTACTATTATTTTTATTCCCAGTACCTATTACTCTAATTCTAGATTCTAATCTTGGGTTTCCTAAAATATCTCTCATCTCTGGCCCTTTGTTCCCAGTTTTCTAGCTTGTGTGCTGACCACCTGCTATTGGAGCAGCCTCTGCACCTAGCTCCTTCTATCAGTTGATTGTTCTAGATCGTGAAATACTTTCTGCTCGAATCCATAGCACTCATGTGCTTTATACTGCCTCGATCTTCCAGAATTACTGGATTGTAAATACTTATTAGCTACTCTCATCCTGTACCTCCCACAGCCACTGACACACAGCTCCCTTCCGTGAAGTAGTGGTGGAAGCCCCTCAGTAGTGAAAATGACTTAGAATCAAATGACCTAGATGCTAGTCCCAGTGCTAACCTGGGGCAAGCCTCTTAGCCAATATGAGCCTTGCTTTTTGTTTTGTTTTTTTTTCTTTTGGCCACGCCACAGGGCTTGTTGGATCTCAGTTCCCCGACCAGGGATTGAATCTGGGCCACAGCAGTGAAAACCTGGAATCCTAACCACTAGGCCACCAGGGAACTCCCCGTTTTGTCTTTTAATAAATTTTGTTTTAGACAGTTTTAGATTTATAGAAAAACTGCAAAGATAATACAGAGTTTCCATATACCCTGTGCAATGGCCTGAATGTTTATGCCGCCACCCCCAAATTCATATGTTGAAACCCTAACCTTAAGGGAATGATAGTAGGAGGTGGGGCCTTTGGGAGGTGATTAAGTCATGAGGGTGGAGCCCTCATGAATGACATTAGTGCCTTTTATAAAAGAGACCTCCCCCCAAAGATCTCACACCCCTCTGCCATGTAACGATACAGTGAGAAAACAGTCATGTATGAGGAAGTCAGCTCTCACCAGACACTGAATGTGCTGGCACCTTAATCTTGGACTTCCTAGCCTCCACAACTGTGAGAAATAAATTTCTATTGTTTATAAGCCACCCGATAGTTTATGGTATTTTTTTACAGCAGCCTGAACAGATTAAAACACCCAGAAATCAGTTTGCCTTATTGGCTTCTTACATTAGTATGGTAGGTTTGTTACAATTACTGAACTGATGTTGATATAGTATCATTAACTAAAACCTATGTTTATTCAGGTTTCCTTAGTTTTTCTTTAGTTTTTACCTCATGTCCTTTTTCGTTCCAGGATCCCTCCAGGATGCCACATTACATTTAGTCATTATGTCTCATTCAGA